ACCCCTAGTGGATACCAAAATCTATGGATGTTGAAGTCCCATTAAATAAAGTGGTGTAGTGAAATGGTGTTCCTTATATAAGATGGCAAAATCAAGGTTTGCTTTTTGGAATGTGTATTTTAAAACATTTTCAAGCTGTGGATGGTTGAACTAGTGGACAAGGAATCCATGGATACAGTGGGCTGACTGTACTCCAATCATTATGTTATGATTTTAATGAGCATGGGGTAAAATCAGTTTTTCAATGCAGAACAGGAATCTATCCTTTTTAATACTCCATTTGCACAGACAGTATATCTAAAACTGGGCAAATCTATTACCGTAGTATGTCTAGCAAGGACTAAATTGATGGGAAATGGACAAAAGTATAAAAGCACAGCAGATATGATCCACAAATGGCTGTGCTGTGTTGACAGCTCTTCCTCACCAAGGGGGGATCAATAAAAAGTTAGGCATGGCATGGGAAACCCCATACATACTGGTGTTCCAAAGATGACAAAGTCACCCTTGGCAAGGCGAATAATTTATTATGCAGCCATAAGCAGTGGTGTTTCCAGCCCTGGTCACACTTGGTGCGTGTGGGGTATGTGTGCCAGGCAGCAGTGACCAGGAGGAGGGCCTGAGTGGATGTTACCTCTCTTCTGCGACGTCACCTGGTGCACATCCCTTGTAATACTACTGGCCATAAAAGATCCTGGTAAGATGTAGAAGGGCAGTGCCTTGTGCCTCCTGGCTAGAAGTTCAAGCTGATTTTACCAACCAGAAGGGCAGTACAGCTTGGAGAACAGCTAGTGAGCTGTGCCCTGTCTAGATGGCAGAGATTCCTATTAGTGCTGAAGTGCCCTGGTCATATGAGAATTGTCAAAATCATGACAAGAATTTTTGTCTGTAGACTTTTTGTATATGAAGTATGGATAATATTACATTCCTTTGTCATCAAATTACCCTCTCCAAAAATTCACTGTCTGAACATGTTCAATGCATGAATTATCCCACACTACAAAGGCCTGCTATGGATCCTGAGGACCTTTTCTAAAATGACAAAATATTATCTGAATATCTCCAAAGCCAAGAATTCATCCCATCAAATGACTTCAAATTTTGTATTGTACTGGCTACCTCATGAGCTATCCAGCTTCCCATACTCACTCTTTATCTTTGCCAAAAGAGCAATTAAATGCAAAACTGTTTTTACTTAGATATTATGTAATAAACCAGGGGTAGACAACCTTTTTGAGCTGTGGGCCGGGTTGCTGTCCCTCAGACAATTGGGAGGCCGAAGCACCAAAAATAAATAAATAAATAAATAAATAAAATATGAATAAATTTTTTTTTAAATTTAAAAAAAATGCATGCACACTCTCTCAGCCCTAGAAAAGCCATGGCAAAACCCCTGTGGAGATTTTGTCAAGAAAACCCCATGAACAAGTTATAACAACAATAATCAATATCATCATGGCGGGGGGGGGGGGGGCAGTGGCAGCGGCGGCAGGACCAGCCTGGGGCTTTTCCAAAGGCCTCGGGGGGCCGCATCCAGCCCCCGGGCCTTAGGTTGCCTACCTCTGTACTAAACCCATAATGAATATAACAGCATGGAACCTCATCCTGTACATTTCAGATTTGACAAGTTATTAAAATCAGAAGAAATAGTTCTGATTTTGGGAGCTTCATGTGAGAGGCTGCTACTTTTTAAATCCAGCTAGTCCACAAGAGAGCCCAGATTTGAGACATAACCAGCCATGAGGCAGGATGATATAGTAAGAACAGACAGGACAGTCTTTTGGCTGAAAGTAAAACAGGAGATAACATGATGGTGTGCAGCTTCATCTTTACCCATGGAACCAATTATTTGTTTAGAAGAACCCATATGCATTATCAGATGCTTTAGGGTAGGTTCATATATATAAGTGAACCAGACATTATAATGATTAGCTGGTACTTAACAGTATCTACTCCAAAATCATGGTCCATCAGCCTCTTTTGGCTGGAGTCTCCAAACCAGGGGTAGGCAACCTTTCCCCTTTGAGGGCTAAGGGACTTCAGCTCCCAGAATCCCAGGAGCTATTGGCCAACATGGCTGAGGCTTCTGGGAGCTGAAGTCCCTTGGCCCTTAAAGGGGAAAGGTTGCCTACCCCTGGTCTAAAGATATAAATCTACAAAGGAAAGGGAAGTATAAAAAGATTTCTCATGTTTTCTGGCTTCTCCATTGCTTCCAGAGTGCACAAACTCTTTATCAAGTTGGTAAAAGATCAATTTTTATACAGTAGAGGTAATTTTTATACAGTTTTATACAGTTTAATATGTAACAGAACTGTTTTTCTTCTGCATGTAATGTGGTAGGAGTAGCCAAGGATTTAGGTCTTTTATGTTTGCAATTATTGTATAATCATCTGAATGTCAATATACGTTTGCAGTATTTACAAGGAATATATGTAACTTTTGGAGTATTTATAAGGAATATAAGTGCTATAGAAATTTATTGTTTTTCAGTATTTACAGTTAAAAATACTGGAGGCAATCATTTTTATGCAATTATCTATTTTAAATGTGTTTATCTAGAGTCTACCTTAGATGAAGGAATGATAGACTTCTTTGAAACACGATGAACATTTTAATAAATAAAACTTGAATATTTGCTTCTTGCTTGACTTTGTTTACACAACTGCTAACCATCAGCCATGTTCTGTGGCCTTTCGGGTGCTGAACCAACTCCTGCTTTTCCTAATCCCAGACTGGCAGAAAAATTAGGAAATTTACTGAGTGTCTGGTGGACCACCATGGGCTGTGTTTGATTCGGTAGACCACACATTGTGTAGATCTACTCTCAGATGATATAAGTCAGTACCAGATGGAGCTACATCTGTGATGGTGTTTCCTACCCACCCTGAGTGTTACATCAACTCTGCACTGGTTTCACTCACATTGCTAGCCTCCAGCATTTGCTGTTACAAACTACACTAACTCACAATTACCCTATTTTATGAAAGCAAAACATGTTTCTCAATTAGCTAACTCATTCTTGCAAAGACTGCATTTGTATTCGAGGAGCAAAAAGGGCCTAGATACATACAATCCTGTTGCAGAAGCAAATCAGCCAGTAGGCACCTTTATTCAACAGGTAAACATTCCTGATTCCAGCAAGTTTTGCAAAAGAGACAAGGAAGCAATTAAATACCACTCTGAACTTTCTCCTTGGCTTATTAGTAAAATCGGCCAAGAAGTCATAACAGGAAATTAGCCAGCCTCAGCACACAGCTAATATTTAATATGTGTAAATTGGGAAACCTAGGAAATATTTGACTGAGTAGCTTTGGGTTGCTAGGAAACAAAGGGTCAGGCAACATTCAAAGGCCAAATTTACTCCCATTCCCTTGGTAAACTCATAAAGCTTCTTTCATTCCAAATTCTGACTCTGTGAGCCTAATTGTGATTCAGGGCTCCTAAGTTCCACCCTGATCTCTCAATATATATCCACTTTTTAATACACATGAGGATGGGGAACAAATCATACTGCCACCTACCGGTTTTCATCACACAGCTTGTATTCTTAACAGCTGAGGACTTTTTGTATAGGTAGAGACTTTGGAGGCATTCTTACAGAAAAGAAGGATTCCCTAGAGAAGTTGACTGGCAGTGATCTTAGAATAACCTTGGCATCATGTATATTAATCAGGAACGATGGTCCAAAGCACACTGCAGAAATAATCCAGTTTAATATTGCTTTAACTGCCCTGGCTCAATGCTAGGGAATCCTGGGAATTGTAGTTCATTCTGGCACCAGAGCTCTATGACAGAGGATAAATGTCTCACAAAACTACAGTTCCCAGAATTCCCTAGCACTGAGCCAGGACAGTTAAAGTAGTCACAAACTGGATTACTTCTGCAGTGTCTTTTGGACCAATGTCCCTTTAGCTCTTAGTGAAGAACCTCATTTATAGGGATGATAAACTGACCCCTCTATGTTTAAAGTACATTTTCCCCAGTAAGGTGCTTAGGAGAAGGGTAGCCTGGTACTTTATGTAATTTAACAGTTTGACAGAAACTATCAGATCACTTGGAAATATGCTTCCTTCTCCTTCCCTCCCAAGGTAACTCTCCCCTGTTTTCATGGATTAGCATTAAATCTGCACTGATGCCAACTATATTCAACAATAATCAGGTTTTCTCTTAATTAGATGTGCATGTCCTGGTCTAGATTCTGAATATGCTGGGATCCCCAGTTGGCATTAACTATCTCTAGCATCTATAATGCAAACTCCTGTTTATGGCAAATAAGGGAAAGAAAGGAGAAATCTGCAAGACAGAGAAAAAGGGGGAAGAACACACTTTTCTGAGACAAAACATTTCAGTTGCTAACCATGGTTTGTAGTGAATGCACTAAGCTTCATGCAACAGAAGCACCAAAGATTTGCCTTGAATGTTCCTTATGAGTTGTCTTCACAGTGTATAGTTGGGGTGTACAAGAAGTAGCAAGGTTCCTGTGTTCTTATGTCTTTCCTTCAGGCATTGATAAGAGAATGGCTGAAGCTCCATGTCTCTGTTGCTAGCTAGCACAACACAACCAAGGAATCAAAAAACCAATCATACTTTAGCTCCCAGCTTAGCAAAGGATTGACAGTACCTAATCTTATTGTCCTTCAATGGAACATATGCACCTGTTGAGCCACTGGTATGGACCACCAGTAAACTGCTGGAAACATTGAGAGGATAGTGTTAGAAAAAGTACTATTTTTATCTGCAGCCTGTGTTGGAATACAATTTGGCTGGCAATCCAGGCACTTTTGAGACCCATTAATTTCAAGAGAGAAATTTAACTACACCCGTGTGTGTGTGTGTGTTTGTGTGTGTTGTGTGCCTTAAAGTAATTTCTGACTTATGGTGACCCTAAGGCAACCCTGTCATGGGGTTTACTGGGCAAGATTTGTTCAGAAGAGGTTTGCCATTGCCTTGCCCTGAGACTGAGAGCATGTGACTTGCCCAAGGTCATCCAGTGGGTTTCATGGATGAGCAGTGAATCGAACCCAGGATCTCCAGAGTTGCAGTCCAACACTCAAACCACTATGCCATGCAGGCTAGCTCCTTGCACTTAAAGCCTGAAAAGTATGGAATACTTTGGGAGATAAATTCCATGGAATTCAGTGGGGCCTCTGAGTAAATATGCATAAGACTGGACATTTAGCATATTTGATTTTCTATAGTACAAGGAAGTTCTAATGTTTGGGTTGATTCATTTTCCAAATAATTGTCTTTCAGAATCCTTCTAACAAAACCACTTCTTTACAAACACTGTTTGGACTGAAGTCTATCATACTGTACTTAATGGGCATAGAAAACTTTTTTTTAAAAGCTGTAATAAGCACAATTTGAGGTGGCTGGCACACTCTCCATGGGTACTCTTGTTCTTTCAGCTAAATCTGGGGCAGCTATTCATCTATGAAAGCTGACACCAGACAAGAGTTGGCACTTATCAGTGGTTCTCTGGGAAGTGGAGAAATTCTTTCAGCCATTTGCTTTATCTCTCTATTAGACCATTGAAAAGCTGCAGGCCTGGAAATCTGCTGATCACAATTAAGTATATTAAAAGATAATTACTTGGTACATGTTTTATAAAATTGTGAAATAGGCATGCAGTGATAATTGTGAAGAACTTTTGATGGCTTTGTTCATCTGTTAACATAATTACGTTATTACACATTAATGTTAACTAGAGTCATTTTGAGATATACTGCCAAGTTACAGCCATGCATTTTCTCATGACAATTCAAGTCTTTTTTTTCTTTTTTGGCATCATAGCCTTTAAGCATTTATCTGCACAAATCCCTATTAATGGAACAAACAAATGAATGAGGGTACCTTTTAATAATGATAAAGGTCACATTTTGTAGAGCTAGTTAAAGTACAGCGAAAGCACATAAAAGAAACCAAGGCACTTAAGGCCAGTTCCCCCTTTCTACTGCTTGGGTAACTGCTACAATCTGGACCATGTGTGAACAAGCCCAATGACAACCCCAATCTTTGTCCATACTTTGTGGGAAAGTTGTGGCAATCTCAGCTTCCTTTCAAGAGTACATTTTATATATTCATATATCTAGGGGCTGATACCTTTTCTTGTTTGCAACAAGGATCACGGGCCTTCAAAAACTTAATGACTGGCAGAAATACAACAGGTGCTGCTTTCTCTATCACTGTATCTCTCTGCCCAAAATGATTGCTGTTGTTTTTATGTTGTACCCCAGCCAGGAATGTAACAGCTGCAGCTTTCCTCAACATACATTTGCAGCGATGGGGAATGCTGCACCTGTTGCATTTTATCTAGTCGTGGAGCTCTTAAAGGTCACAGGAGCCCTACCCAAAAAAGAATAGTGGCAACTCTACACATAGTGTATTCATCAATTGCACACTTATATTCACAATGAAAACTTTTTACGAGAAAACTGGACAAAATAAATCTGGCACCCTGTGACTGACTTAGGTGTGTGTATGTGCAGCTGATGTGCTTAAGTCCCTTTTCAGGTGGGGCACAGGTGATTATTCTCTTGCCCTTGTGCTTTATCCAAAAACTTCCCACTGTCCAGTAGCTATCCAGCCCTGGGAGGGCCCTTTGTTGTTGTCTCTTACTGGTGGGGAAGGGAGAAGCAAGTCAGACCATGAAGATTTGGCTGCTCTGGGCACTGAGAGGAAGGAAAAGTAGATTTACTCTCTTTGACAGAGCACCCACATTTCCACCTCATCCGATTGAACTGGGACCAGCTGCTCCATGGTCTCAATTGCCTCCCCACTGCCTATCTCCCTATTGGTAAAAAAGCGACAGCAGTAAAGACCCTTCTCAGAGACTGAATGCTGCCCAGCAATGGGAGAACACAGAACAATGTGTGCAGAGCTATGTGAAGATGTCAGATCCCAGCATATGTGTGAAACACCTCAACAAAGATGTTTTAAACAATCCATTGGTGTAATCAAACATTTATTTTTCATAGTCTTGCTAATTTTTTTTTTAAATGCAGCTTGCTTTGCATGATTTCAGGGTAAAATAATGTGGTGCAGCTGGTGGTGGGGAGACCAAATGTAACTTATTAAACACTCCTGGATTGCTTAACACAAATATATTATTGTCAGAATTCCTATGAGATCAGCAATGTTTGTCTTACTTCTCTGCTTGTTGGCAAATACACTTCTGCATACCTCTAAAACATTCTTGCTGATAATCTAGTGAGGGAAAATCATATCATTACATTTTGACCTGACACATTTTGCAGAGGTGGGTGGAGTAATGTTGTTTCTTCACAGCTAATGTACTGAATTGGAAGATGTCTAAGGAATAGCAGATTTCAAAGCCAGAAAAGTTGGGGGGGGGGGGCAATTTACTGGACTGGCTTTGCCTATCAGGCCTTTATAGTCCTCAGATATTGGTACCTCAACCTCTAATTGCAGTATGCCTCATAGGGAGGCAGTCCACAATGGAAGCATCCAAAACTAGAGCCATTTCCTTGGGGAATTCTGTTCCTCTTTCCTGATGAACTGCAACATGACCAGTGCTTTCTGGGACTATAAAGTACCTGTTGCCCATTCAATGTGATGAAAGGTTAGAATCTAAAACTGCAGGGCATACTGAACTAACCTGCGTGGGAATGGACTTGGTATCTTGTTCCTCATGCTAGTTTTCTATTCCTTGAAAATCATAGATGCCTAGAGCGGCCATAGGTCATATTTTGCAGAATACAAGCTTCTATTCAAAGGCTATCCAACCCAATTCTGGTTAGAAGGTAGAGGAATCATAAGAAGGGAGAGTGGGGGCCATGGAGTTACTCATCAACAGTTGACTCCTGAGCAGCAAAATAAAGAGGAACACTAGTCCCATGGCCACAGATTTCACCACTATGCAAAGTCTTACTGCATTTCTGTTTAACTTTTAATAATGATTTTTATATTTGCAGCTACATACGAGCACTTGAACATTTTATGCAGTTTTGTGTACTCATTCCCCAATGTGTAACAGGCCATCCTATAAACGTTACAGACCCCAGGCATCTTCACCAATGCTCTCCCTGTCTTTACACTTTTCTTAGATGCATCCTCCTATATAAATTTCTTAGTTTTAATGGTTTATTTTATCTGTGCAAAGAAGGTTCAACACCGTGGTGTTTCTTTAAAGTTCTGACCCATTGTCTCAATGTCATGAGAGCCACATTGGCCCCTTGTTTTTGCAATCCCAGGCAACCCAAATGCCAATCTTTTGGATGGTTAAGTATACATGGCTGATGGGTTTGTTCAGATTGAGGGCTTATAAATTGTGGAGAACTGACCTCTGGTCTATGGTATAAGGACTGATGGGCTTTCTTGTATGTAGTGCTGGACCACAGGGTTTGTTGTTAACTGTTGTCAAGTCAACTTTGACTTACGGCAACTCCATGAATGAGAGAGCTCCAAGGGGCTGAACAGATCGTTGCTGGATCGGGGCCGCGGCAACCGCATGTCATGGCCCTGATCCAGTGGTTTGCTGCTCTAAAAAGAGCTGGCAAATGCTGCTCCTTTTTAGAGTGGCAAAAAGCCGCCCTTGCTGTGGCGGGCTTTTTGACACTCCTTTGGCACAGTGTGTGAAGGCTGTGCCAAGGGAGTGCCCTGACACCCCTCCCCCACCATCTGGTTGGATGGGTGACATGATGGTGGCATCGGGACGGAGTTGGGGTTGCCAGCATGCAGTTGACACCCCCCCACTCTACCCCCAGGCCAGCCCTTTTGGCTGGTCTGCACAGCCCCCAAGTCACCTTATCATCAATAGCCCTGCTCAGGTCTTGCAGACTCAGTGTGATGTTTTCCTTGATTGAGTCTATCCATCTGGAATGAAGGCTTCCTCTTTTCCTACTGCCTTCTACTTTACCAAGTATTATTGTCTTTACTAGAGTAAAGATGGGGTTTAACCATCCTTTTAATTTTCAACCTTTATTTCACTCTTTTGATTTTTCCACACTTTCCCACACTTTTTCCATAGTGCCTCATAAGCCCTATAGGGAACTAAAAACGTAGGTAAATAAAGATGCCTAGTGTCACTCACAGTGCTGGTGCAGGAGGAAAAGTTGAGGGCAGGAGGAAGCGATAGGCCCTATCACATATATAAGGCACTTGTGCCAACATTGCTGTTACTTAGCCTGAAAACCGCTTCATTCCTGCCTGTTCCTACCTTGCCCCCCAGTCTCCTTAGACTCCTTCTTATTCCTCAGATTTATTAACCCTACTCTGAACGTTCAAGCTAACATCTTGGAATTGATCTCAACTGCATGTCCTATCTGTGTCCATTTTATTTATTTTACTTACTTTGAGAGATCAATTCATGTAGTATTGTTTGCTATGCTGCCTGATGCTGCAGGTGAAACACAGCAAGCCCCTCTTAAGATAAGGCATGCATTTAATCTATACCTATTTTACTTTTGTTCATTAGCTCAGCTTCAGAACTGGATTCACTGGGCCCAGTTCTTCATCTCTGCATTCTTAAATTTCCACTTGCATGAGATTTCAATTTCATGTTCATAATTCCACATCTCTGACAGAATTGCTATTTATTTTCACTTAATAAACCCCTTTAATGTAAGAAAAGAACAGAAACTATTCTGCAGCATTGGCTTTATGAGGGGATCTTTCTTATATGCCAGTTTTAGACATACACATCCAGAGAGAGAAACAGAGATAAATGCCTTCTCACTGGTTGCACCCACTATCTGAAGCCAAATGTACAGATGGGAAGCGTAAGCACTGATCCAAAGCTAAGGAAAACACAAAAAGTAATGTAACTTCTAGAAATATGCTATGCTGCAATACCTAAGTGTGCATTTCTTTACTTTAACTGCCATCATTTAGCACCAGCAATGACAGCAAAGGCAGAGAAAGAATATTATCCTAAGTATTAGAAAATATGAAACTACTATTCCCACCTATACAGGGGGATAAAAACAGTCTCTTTATATCTAAGCTAAGGTGTTTCTCATATATCTACAAATCAAATGTAGCAACTTACAAGGATATCCAGACCACTTCCAAAAACCTCCGTACAAATTCAACATTATCTTTTTTTTAAAAAA